AGAATATTTAACTCAAGATTAAACAAGTGTCCGTCGAATTGGCTGACATATATATGGTCTTCCATGTTAAAATCCCACAGAATTTACTATTCCTTTTATGAACTCCCCATCAAAGCGTGGTCCCATGGATCCAATTTTGATGTTTGATCTATGTTTAATAAAAGTACCGATGAGATAAATGGACCGATAAGTTCTACCCTCCAAAATTATGCAGTTGAAATATTAGGCTGTGCAAAGTTTGGTTCAAATCAGATATTTTAAAATTTATTTTCGACAAAATTCTGACTATTTTGTGGAGGTTGTACTAGAAGGTGTGGACCGATATTCTTCATATTCTAAGGTGATTTATCTATGAAAGAAATATTACGATGTGCACTGTTTTCATCAAGTCGGGCATTCCATTCGCTTCATATTGCAATAAAAAAAATTAAAAATTTTGAAACAGGTACCAGCAGAAATGTACCGATGCGTCCTATATTCGGATTTCATTAAATGTTGGTAAAATTACGACGATGTGAAGAGTTTGGGTCAAATCGCAAATTCTAGTCCAACATTATACAGGGATGGTTGTATTATTTGACAGTGTAAAGGTTGGTTCTTTACAAAATGAATTCTTAGCAAAATTTTAATTACTATAGGAGTAGGTACTAGAAAGAGTGGACCGATATTTCTTATTTTCGAACTTGATTTAAGTTTGGAAGTAATATTACGATGTATAAAGTTTTCATGACATCGGTTATTCCATCGTGCGCCCTAGCTTGCCAAATAGACACACAGAAAAATTGACTCCAAAAGGTCTGCAATGAATTTGATCCAAAAAACATGGGGTCTAAAACCAATATTTCGATCGGCCATAGCCAAGTGTAACTACCCACATTACCTTTCAGTATAACAATATTTTTTAAGGATCAATCTGTGGCTCTTATAATAGTTATTTATTTAATGATATTAAGCTATATTTGCTATGTTTGTACCAATCCCAACATTTAAAGGTATGGGCGAAATAACGAAATATTCAATAATTTCAATTAATTCCGAAACTTATATTATTAAATACATTGAATAATCTCTTATTATTTTATTTACTGCTCTTCTTTCAAATAATGAACACATGATCATTGAACTCCAAACGTTATGTGTCATAAAATATCAAAACATTCATTTTTTACAACGCACAGACCGTACAATATCCTATCTCTCATAACTTGAAATACACTAAATAAAGAGTCATACGATCTAGTTGAATACAAATAAATTAATTGCAATGCTATTATTTATTGATGTAAACTGTTGTTTGCTTTACAAATCAAGAAATCATATTAATCTTAACTTTATGCTTATAGTATCTGACGAGGCAGGAAATGACTCAGATTGCAATTAAAGTAAATAAAAACAAGAATTTTACACAAAAAAATTAAATACTACTATTGTGGGAAATTTAGTGGCACTGGATTTTAAGGACTCCTTAAGATGTGCTTTAAAATGTTTAACATTTAACGATAAAAAAGTCGGAATAAATTAAAGTATATGTTTGTGCGCACACTGATGGCATTTATTCACAATAGAGTGGAAACTGTTATAAATACAAAAAACTTAAGACACGAACTCTACGTTTTTATTCATAAAGTAGAGTATAGAATAATCAGATTGTTATACAGTATATAATAACAATGTTGTTTCGATAATTGATGAAGTTATTTTAAAGTAAGTAGAAAATAGAATAAACAAATAACAAATAAACATAATTACGACGATGGGCTAATATATGGATGTCTCAGTGAACACGCCGATTAACTCCCTAAAAAAAAGAAAGCGACGAGGAAGTGTATGTTGTTTTTATAATTCATTTTCATATAAATTCTTCTTTATAATATAGAATACACGATGGCGATAATCTTGATCATCCAGGAAAGATTTTTTTTCGGCGGACAATGCCATACATTCCCCACTAATAAATAGTTGTTTTTTTATAAAAACAACAAACTGGGATTAAGCATGACTATTTTGCAAAAACAAAAAGATTTTTTTTTAATATAAAAAGATATGACTATAACAAGGCTCTTGAAATTAAATTTACCATTTAACATATTTCCCAACCTTACACACCAATACTTAAGGACTTAAGGAAACCTCCTCGTTCTCGGTTCCAAAAATGTATTATTTAATTCGAACCTACATTAACTCAAGAATATCAATTTGAAAATTCAAATGAAAATCTCAAAAAAAAAACTAAAGACATGGCCGATTATTGTGTCAATATACAGCCATGTCAAAATAGCCGATTTCCAAAAAAAAAAAAAATAAATAAAATTCAATTCATTTTCATCAAATACTTATACGCAAAGTTACAAATTTTCACAATTATTTTCCAGCTGGTTAAAAATCGTCGATATTTGGGATCGAGAATGGTGGGAGTCCTTTAATGTTGAAACGATAATTACACTGTGCGACAAATTTGAATTTTTTTGATAATTACCGGAAAATTCCAACAGATTATGAAAGAGGGTCTAAAAAAAGAAGACACGTGTATCGGCGTTTTGAATGTTTACGTCGGGATGTAACTTAAAAAGGCGGGGCATTATTCTCCCTTTTCAAGAATTTTGATAATTTTCAAATTATGATTTCTTGAAATCCTTACATTTTAGGTATATAGTGTCTCCGGCAATATTACTGACAAATTATCGAGGAATAATTTGGTATGCAACTTTAACCCTCAACCGACTTATTAAAGGGGTCTTTTCGGTCCCTTTTTCCAGGAGTGATTGAAAACTCATTCAAAACGGGGTTAAAGCTGCTCAGAATATTCTACAGAAATGTTCGCCATAAAGTTTTATTATAAGTCTCAGAATAGACTAAAACTCAAAAATCAGCCTAAACGTCAAAAATCTTAAAAAACAAAAACTCATTTTAGGGTTAATATTGTACTTATTACTAGTTTTTACCCATTTTTCCCACAAGGTGTCGTTTTAGAAGGATAGTATAAGGGACAAAAATAGTCTCCATCAATTTTTAGCATAAGTCACTGAACAAGAGAAATCTGTATATATAATGTATATACCGAATATATAGTCATACATTTTGAACCAAATATTCAAAATGTTTTTGTATTTTTTTTTTTTTTTTTTTTGTCAAAGACATTTCCTAGTATTTTTTCGACTAAGTGGATTAAATTAACATGAAACTTGATTTTAGGTATATAATGTCAAAGAATAAAATATTCTACGTCAAAATCCACTTCAAGCTTCAGAACAAGCTATATATATATATTCAATAGTTTTTAAGAATAAAGGTCAGACAATATTTAGCGGGTCACATGCACAATCACATTTGTGTGAAAAAAGACAAAATTTGTATTCTATGGCGTATATTTTTAATCCTGAAGGACATAGACCGGAGAAGTAGACAGTGTTTCCAAGCCGTTTATATTTACATTGATACCAAATCTATTGCGGTATGTACTCGGACGTGGGAGTGATACGTCAATATTTATAGGTATTTATGTATTCTGATATTTTTTACTATTACCATTACCCCACTAGAGGGCGGAAACGGCGCGGCTATGGTCAAAGACAACGCCAATAGTTTTCGGTGGTGATCAGATTATATTGAGGGATAAAATGAATGGAAAACTTTATTTATTTCTGGTTTACAAGTCGTTCTAGATGCCACAATTATAAGCCAAACATCAAAAATTTCTCATGAAGAGGACGATCAGATCAGAATGGCTGTCTAAATATTTAACAGCTTAAAATAAACCAAAAAATTTGATTCGCAAAAGATTTCACAGAGGGGCTTTTGATCTCCAATCGATCAAGAGAGTGCAAATATCGCGAAATATTTCCCAGACTAAAAATATAGATGAAGAAACATAGAGCTCAGTGGTATTTATGAATGTTAACATTTAGACGCCCCGTTCGACTATAGAGCTTCGCTCACTGGTTATTTATTAATTATAATTTCGGTCTCGAGTTTTTAGAAGGTACGTATGTGAAAGGAATTGTCGTTTTAAGTTCATATCAGCCATGAATATAAGACTCCATTCATTACTTCATAACAATTCTTAACTTTTTTGTAATGGTTATTAATTTAATATGTATATATTAAATTAAAACTGGCATTTAACTCCGAATAATTATTCTTATCTCATTAGAAAATATCAATTATCCAGTTCTCATTTCATTTTTTCAAATTCACTACATTTTCCTTTATTTAGTTCATAGCATTAACGCATTCGATTAATAATAAAAAATAGATATAAAAAACATAAAACTTATAAATTAACAATATTGTTTGTTTGTTGTTTTGTTTCGTTCTTATGCAGAGTGTATGTGAGTGTATTATACAAAACGTACATAATTAAATACTCGCTTTAATAGTTTACAAATGTATTTTGTTTGTTATGTGGATTGGAAATTCCAGCACTAGAGGCAATACAAAAAAAAAATAAAAAACAAATCATAGAGACAGAAAGTCAGTTTGACATTTCGATACGAACGAAAATGAAAACGAAAATGAAATCACGCATTGTGGTGGCAACACAGCGATATATGAGAGAGAGACAGTGTTGATGACATTTGTAGAGATGAAGATGAGATGAGGAACATGGTCATGGATGGATGTAACTATTCAGAGAGAGAGCATAACTGACTAATGAGTTAAATGGTAGAAGTTAGAAAAGGTGAGAAGTCAGGTTTTTTCATTGGAAATGGAGATCTTAGAGGGGGGAAAACTATGTACATTAGTTGTAAAGTTAAGAGTATTTCTTGGTTTGCTTAATTCCGTTCTACCTTTTCTTGTTCACCGAAACTTTGCCATTTCACTGCTTGCAAGTACTTTTAACTTGTATTTGTTTATACTTCTTCCTTTTTCCTCTACTTCTTCGATTTTTTGTTTCATTCATTTTCTTTATCATATCGTTTAGCCGTTAATAAGTCGTGGGGTCGTCATCGAGGATTGGCAGTGACATTTAGTTATAGGGTGGTTTGTTGTTTTAGTTACTTACTACACTAAATAATTTACAATTTATAAAACAGTGATTGTTAGAAAATGGCTTCTTAATAATGGCCATGAGCACCGTGTCCATAACCGGCATAACCATGACCAACAGCAATAGCGGCGGGGGCATGATGCGCTACGGAAGCGTATGGTACAGCTGGGGCGGCAGCAACATGATGGGCAACAGCGGGAGCGGCATGAGCATACACAGCTGGACCGGCATGATAGGCAGGTGCGGCAGGAGCAGCATGTACCACAGCTGGGGCAGCATGAGCGGCAACAGCATGTACAGTGGGGGCAGTTTTGTGGACAACAGCATTGAAACCATTGTGATCGTCAGCGGTATATTCGACAGTGCGCACTGAACCGTCAGGTTCAACCAAGGAGTAGGAGCCCTTGACAACATCACCATCACGTACTTCGTGTTGGGATTTCACATCACCGGTATGTGAGTCAGCAACACCGTAGTTGTAGTGATACTTGGGGTAGGCCTATAATGGAAGAATGGGGGTGGAGAGAAGATTATTAACATGAAGGATGAAAGTATTTATCATTAAGTGGAGCTAATTTCAAAAGTTTTTTTATTGGGATAGAATATTAGTTATCACACTAATTTAAATTTATAAAAATTAACTCTCATTTAAAAATATGGAGGTGTTATTTTAATTTTTAAATATGATCTGAAAAAATATTTAATCTAATACCACCTCAATGACCATCATCATCGACCACAAAAGTAAAATAAAATAAAAAAAATGCCCTGGTTTCTATGGCAACCACACATAAGTCAAAATTTGTTAACACATCAAACAATTGGTTCAAAACCATTACTGACGACAATGGTTCTTCACAGAGCTCAGGCATTGAAGACCGTATTCGACACGCAAAATCAAATTTCTTGAAGCTAATCTGTAACCGTCATTGTACGATATCATACCTCCCCTATAGGCATCCATTCATCCATCGATGCCTCACATCGCCATCATCATCACCACCACATTCAGTGATGTCCCACATTTGATAAAGTACAATGTGCCACTTTACATGAATTTGCAATTGATGATGGCATGAATGAATAAAAGATTATAACACAATAACAAAGCAAAAATAAAAAACCAAGTGTAATGAAGATGTTGATAAAAAACTGCAACATTGCAATAAAAAATATAGGTGAATTACATACACATAGGCTTTAGCAATGAAAATAATGAAAAACTACAACAACAATCGGATTTTGTAACATCAGATACAATTGCAAATTTGCACAAGACCACAAAATGAAAATAAAACTTTTAGATTATCTCTTTCAAGATGTGTGAACATGGCTTGTGGATATATAGAAAATTTGTGTTAAACAAAAACTGTGTGTGCTATTGAATGTGAAAATCAAAAGACTTAGGAAACAAACTTGAAATATGAAAGTGAAACAGAGAACAGAGAGAATAACATGTTGAAAATAATAGTAATGGCTATTTTTTAATGGTAATAAAAAGTAAAGTAATTGGAAAACTAAAATTTCGCTTCGATCAAAACGTTGTAAAAATATCCATACAATCAATTTATTTAATACATTTATCTCAATTGCATTTACTTTAATTTTTCCCACATTCCTTTGTAAGATGCTCCTTCTTACAAATTTCCATAAACCCAAAATCTGTCTGAGCAATGCATGTATGAATGAAATGAATTACATTATTGATGTCATCGCAATTCATATGAAGAATTAATTCGTTTTTGTTTTTTTTTTTTTTTTTTGCTGAAAATCAAAACGCAAGCCACAAAACATTTGCAAATTGTGTTGTTGTGTTTTTGTCGTATTTCTGCCATATTCTTCTTCGTTTTCTTTATCTCGAATTGGTTTGTCTTGGCAACGAAATATGATTACTGGTTGTCAGTCTCTGTAGACTGTGGGAATTGGAATATCTTTGAAATGTGAACATTTAATATGAAAACACCTAACCAAAGCTAACAAACAAAAAAATTGTGGGAGCTAAAACCACAATTTATGTAAAGCCATGTCTGGTGGCTGTTTGATGTAATGCAGTGTAACCGGAGCTGCATTTTTATTACATCAATTTTTGGTGAGCAGTTTTTTTTTTTTTGCTTAATTGCAAATTCGATTTGACAAATTTCAATGCACTTGTCTGGTTTTAATATGAAGCATATATAAATTAAGTGTGGCACAAATTTAGTACATTGTAAGTAACATTTTGGGGAATTAAATTGTATGATAAACAAATTAATATAAATAAATGAGATCGCTACAAAGTTGAAACTAGTTGTAGCAAACTTCCTCATAGGAAATTTTGATTGATACAGGTAGAGCAGGAACACACATTATTTTAAATATTTACATCCTTGATAAATTTGGGAGTACAGCTGGTATGTGCTGTATTATAATAATGGCGAAATTTATTTCCTTTGTCACGTTTAGCATGATGGAGACAAATTTAGAACACTAACGAGTGTGTGTGTGTTTCTTAAGTCTTTTGTTTTTATACTTTTTGCAATAGCAAGGATAGGAATGGGCATTTATTTTTCTTTTTTCGATGTCTGATTTTTGTCTGATGTATGATTTTTTAGTGGTCAGAACATTTACACCCTTCGTACTGGACAATTTCTGGGTAGCACATAAAGGACAAATTATACTTCATTTTACAAATTATTCTCTTGTTTGTAATTTTCACAATGGGAAGGGATGGACCATAATTTCAGTTTCCGTGAAGGTATACCAAGTACGTATAAAATTTGTGGTTCCAATTTTCCTAAACGTGCATTTATTGATGCTTTACAGTGTAAACTCAATTTAGGCTTTAGAAGGGTTTCAATTTGGTTTGGATTTTTGTTTCTCAAGTTTTTTAACTATAAATTTCACTTTAAGTTTAATAGAGTTGCATTGAAGATGTTGAAATATAAATTGACAAGTGAAACCAAATTTGAGAAAACGTATTTTTGGTTACTTTCAAATCAGTTTATGTAAATTTACATTTTTTTTTATGTAGCTACCTTTTGTCTTCGGAATATTCTCGATTCTAATATTTTAATCAATAAAAAAACATTTCTGTCCATAATACAATATTTTGTTACAATCAAAAATTTGATTAAAATATTAGATTTGAGCTGAATATTGAAATATACTAATCATTTGTTTATTTTTATTTTGGTGCATCTAATATATAAATTTCTAGCAGAAATTGGTCATGTAAAGTCCAATTATTTTCTTTACATTACATTTATCTAAAGATGTACATATTTAATAGATTTTTCCTAAAACTAGAGAAACATTTAATACATTTTACATTAAATTTTCCATTCTTATTTTAAATTTTTCTCTTTTTATGTGCTCAGAACACTTTCAATTGCTAACACCAGGGCTTTCAATGTCATACCTAACATTTCGTTTCACTTGGCTACTTTTTTTCACAAATACTCACATGATAATCTAAACCTTCATCGGGGTGGCCATGGCCATGACCAGCATAGACAGCTGGAGCACCAGCATACAGACCAGGACCACCATGAGCACCATGTAAAACACCAGCTGTGGCTACGCCAACGACAGCCAAACAGATCAAGGACTTTATATGAAATGAAACAAATTAGAAAAAAACAGCAACTTTATAATGTGTACTATTTACAAATATTCAACAAATAGCACTTTATACTTTTTAATAACTCTTTTATATTTTGTATATATATATATATTTTTTTTTTAACATTATAGAACTCACTTTAAAGAAAGCCATTTCTAGGTTTAGGGTTTTGTTTTAATTTTTTTGTAAATTATTTAGTTGTAAACGTCTTAACGACTTGCTGTATTGCAGGCAACTGATAACTAGAACCAAGAAGGAAATCGTATTTATATACAAAAACCACCAAAAAATGCGCCAACAGCAGAAAAAAGCGACAGACACAAACAAACACACACACACTCGCTCACCAACAATAGCACTCAGTTATGCACAAGAAACATACTTATGGCTGCTACTCGAACAGACTCCACCCGTGATAAAACGCAAACTTTAAAATAATAACAACAACAAAAAAACTGAACAGCAACAAAAAACAAATTCATTCGTACAATTCAACATTAGGAGGGTTAAAATATTAAACATTAAATTGACTACAAGTCGACATATTCAGCAACGATGCCGACAACAATCAACATTCAGCATACAGAGGAGAGTAGAGCGTCGAGCTGTTTTCTGTGTGTGTCGCTCTCTGTCAAAGTTGGCAGAATTAGATTAAATAATAATAAATCGGAAAAAATAACAAAATTACAAACTGAGTAAGAGCCGAGCTCAAACGACACAAAAAATTCGTAATGCATGACGTTGACGATAGCATGCTACGTCACTTGAAAGGTTCGTATGGAAAGTTTGGGGTGAATGTGTAAAACAATTTCAAAGATTTTGTAAGGTTAAAAAGTTAATATAAGAAGAATAAGGGACAATAGAATTAATACGTATGAGTACTGAAAGAGGTGAAATCCGTATTTTTAGTTTAATGTGGCTTAAATTTCTATAATATATATATAAGTTATATAATTGGCCTGATGTAACTTTTTTTTTTTTGTTCAAACTTATCAAGTCGTAATATTTTAGATCAAATAGGCAGATATGCAGAAAAATACAACATTTTTATTTTTTTATGGAAATTACAGAATATATGTTTTGATTGAAACATTACACATAGTTATATATCAAGTCTAAAGCTTTAGTTTTGGTCTAAATAACACCACTCCTTCCGGCACCTCCCCACAAAAATTTCAATAAACTATATAACTATAACTTTCTACAGAGGGGCACTAGCTCATGGTCTGGTGTTGGAAAACTGCTTTTGGCGATGAAAGCTCTTGACGGGTATATTAAGTACCCAGAATCAGTCATATGAAAAATTGTTATGTTATGTCGTGATGCATTTGTTGTGGTGACCCTATTGCTCATAAATAAAAAGTTGTATATCATTGCTGCAGGTCATTTTAAGATGACATGTCTTCAGTCATATCGAATACGGAATTTATTATATCGCGACTTCTTTTGCATCATTATTGCCACAAGACAACATTTTTTGCATCCAAATAGGATCATGAGCAAAAAAATAACCACGCTATAACTCTAAAACTAGATCTGTGGCGCATTTTCGCTTCTGTGTTCTTAATATACTCACCAATCGATAAAAGTTCCAAAGAAATTTTTCAACCTCCCAGTTTAAGTTACAACCCACAGGCAGTTTCGAATGACCTGGGATTCTATTTATACCTATAAAATAAGAAAATTTTATTGAGATCCTTTGTCCTGCTCATTTAAGCAGTATTTTACATGAAATGTTAATGTAATTATGAATTTCAGACTCTGAACAGATACAATACAAGATGTTGTCAATATACGTAGTGGTAATATGGGAACAATGTTCGAACCATTAATTAACTAGTTTAATACAGATAATTTCTTAATCCTCATGCTGTTAGATCCGAAATAATTAAAAACCAATATAATAGGTTGGGCAAAAATAAATCCCCCATATGAACAATGGGATTTTATTTAGCATCGGAATGTCCGATTTGGTCCAAATATGCACCGTTTTTTTATATGATTTGTTGCCGATTTTCACAATCATCCCTAAATACAATTTTTTTAAAAACTTCCCATCCAAGCTCCCGAAGTTTCTGTCGAGTCGCTGTAGATGTGTATGGCCTAGCATTGTCCTGGTGGATTTTCGCCTTTGTCAAAGAAAAGTTGTAAAATGTACCGAATTGTCTCTTTGTTCACTTCAATTTTGAACACCCTGTAACTCACAACTGAATGCATAAAAAAAAAAATTACTGCGAAATGTCACCTTTCCAACGAGCATAAATCTAAAATTGTTTGATCGATACTTTACGAGAAATCTATCAGCACAGCCATCTGCCGAAAAAATAATGGATTTATTTTTCCCCAAAACTAATATTTTCGCCAGAATATTCTGCAATAAATATTTCTTAATCTAACGTACTATGAAAAATAGTTCTCCGAAATGTCTATCTGTTTACGTTTTCAATGTTAATCCATTTTGCTTTCGTACTTGCTTGTTTTTATAAATTCACATCCACTTCTATATTCTCCCAACCAAAGTACACCGCCCTCATACGAACTGGTCATTTTCATTGAACATACATTTAGTTAAGCAAACATTTTGTTTCAGCTGCTCAGGTTACAACTGTCTGAGCAGCGTTACTTATTTCGTTGAGAACAGCAGCGACTTGTTTGTGTGGTACAGCTCTATGCTCTAGCAAATCGATACTCTATTGAAAGCAAGAGTCAAATATAGAAATCAGTCTACGATTAGTGTTTGATTTGTTAAGTAATTGGTTTTCGAAAACATAGGGAAAATCATGGATCAATGGATTCTGACTCAAACATGTATGCTGGTTATTTTTACAAAAAACGAATCGCAGGAAACGAAGGTCTTATTTTAGTGGAGTTTCAAAAATTGTTACTTTTTTTTACAAAGTTCTTGCATTGAAACTACAGACTCTACTATTACACTACTCATACTCATACATGTTGTATCATTAATAATAACTTAAATTCACACCTTGGTTTGCAACTGTCATTAGATCAATTTGTGTATGGTTCAATTAAGCAAACGTCATGAATGGCAACCCGGCATTTGAAGAGAATGGAAGCATTGCATGCCCAAAGATGTGATAATTTAAAATGCAATTCAAATTCATTATATACTGTTTATGCGAATGTATTCATATGTGAATGTAATTTGAAATTAATAATATAAAATGTAACTTTAAAAATTAGTATATTCCTTAAATTTTAATGTTCCTCATAAAATTTATGAAAATTAATCTTTTGGTTGAAACTGTATTATTTCCCACGATAATGTCTTTTTTCTTTTACATCACATAATATGAAATTTTATTAACCATGAACTTGGGTTAATTAATCCATTTAATGTGCTATAATTATGAATTAAATTCGCAAAGGCGCTTAATGTAGTTTTCATGGCTATGAGTTAACCAAACCCAGCTGTAATTACATTTTTTTGGTACATTGGTTCGCTTATAGCATGGTTATTTGAGATATTGTTATACTTTAGTTGGCGATTTAATGTAGTTTGATCTAATTTGGTGGTATGTCCACTTGGTATTTAATAGAAAAAAATAACTTTTAGTCTAACAGAAAGAGTACTTATTGGCCTACAAGATAAAGAACGTTGGGTTGAATTTGAAAGTATGAGTTGGTCCCCTATATAAAAATACCTTTGGTCTTGGGTCATGCTGATTAGATCAACAGGACTAGTTTACAATTAGAGTTCCTATAAAAAATGCAATAAATCTGTAAGTAATCATCTGTAGATGACCTGTTCTGTTAAAAAATTTTATGATATTCTATAAGAGAACCTTATGGTGTTCTATACGCAGACCTTTTAGTATTCCGTAATAAGACAGTAAATACCATACGGTCTTCCTAAATATCTTCTATAAGGAGACTTATTGATCTTCTTTATGAAGACCTTATTGTCTTCTATAATAAGACCTTATGGTCTTCTATAAGAAGACATTATGTAATCGTGTATTGTCTGCTAAAGGAGAACTTTTTGGTCTTCTATAGGAAGATCTTATGCCCATTTATTAGACCAGTTGGCCGTGCCGGTCAACTTCGATCATTTCTCCGATTTTGTCGACATTTTCGACGAACGGGGTGCAACATTAACATCAAAAATTCCTAAACGGAATCTACGAAACCAAAATTGGACATAATTGGCTGTTAAAGTATCGGAACCTGTTGAACTATCGGCTCTGATTTTCGCCTTTGTCAAAGAAAAACTGTAAAATGTACCGAATTTTTTCTTTCTTCTCTTCCATTTGATCGATACTTCATGCAATCTATAAGTACAACCATCTGCCGAAAAATAATGAATTTCTTTTTCCCCAAACTGATATAAATTATAATAAAACTTGCGGTCTCCTAGAAGAGAAACTTTTGGTCTTCAACATGAAGATCTCTTGATCTTCTACAGTTAGTCCTTCTGGTCTTCTACAAGTGTTTTTTTGGTGTTCTACAATAAGACATTTGGTCATCAAAAAGAATATTTTGCGGTATCGAGTGCGGTATTCTTCTGATCGTCTATAAGAAGGCATCATTCGGGTATTCCATAGGGAGAACGTTTTTTACAAGGCCTTCCTTTGTATGAAGGGAAGGGCTCATTGAATTTTGAAACAGATGAGGTTATACTTCTATAATACCAGAGGTTTTAAAATACCTTTGTGTTTTCCTTTAGCGCAACGAACCTACTTATGAAAAACGTTTTATTCTCTGTAAATGAGACCTGCATTTCTACAGATTTTCTAGATAGATATATTCTAATTATTTGCATATATTTTACGCTCATCCAAAAAGTGCAATGAACTTATGAGGAATTCCAAAAATGTTTGCCTACGCAACATTGTGGCTAGACTCAGATTTTGCATTTTCATGAAATTCGATCATAAAACCAATATTTTTATTAGTCAATAATTTCAGTTGACTTTAAACACAAAACCGTTAATTGATACGAATTAGTTGCTCAATTAATTTGGTTCGCATAATTTGCACTGCAGAAGAATACAAGCATAAATATGTTTGTATGTCTCCTATGGTGGGAGTCGAATTTGAGACCACAAAACCGTAGAGATTTCTGTCGGTGCAAAAAAATAAAACACAACAACAACATATTAAGTCATAGCTCATTTAATGTTACTAATGTTCAAACTCAGACAAGAAGAAAACTAACTGCAAAAAAGAGTTACAACAAAATTATATGTCACAGCCACAAAATGGTATTTTGTA